CAGTTTCCTTTTTAGCATGGCACATGTGATGTCTAAGTTGGAGAAGGTAATGTTTAGGATGTGGGAAGAAGAAGGAAAGGTAATTAGGGTAAAAAAAAGAAAGCAATACTATCTCAAGAAACTCTAGGCAGTAGGCTTCTGGAGCCCTTTAACCATTTACCATGACCCTGCCAAGTCTATGCCATATAGGATATTTTTTTTCTCATTTTTCTGGGACACAGATTTAGGCAGTATTCCTTGAGGTTTCTGGGTGTGAGCGAGTCACTGTTGGTGGATCTCCCAGATAACCAGTGCCTGAATCTAACCTTCATCTTTGCTCTCTATTGAATAAATGGTAACTCTCATCAATGGCTAAACAGAACTTCTGATATTTTAATTTTAACTTAGTGTGTTTTATGGGAGGCAGTATAGCACAGCTTTTAAAAGCAGACTCTTAGGCCAAACTGCCTAAGTTCAAGTCCCATCTCCAATACTTATAAGCTGTGTGACTTGGTCAAGATATGTTTAACTTCTCCTCAGTTTTCTCATCTGCAAAATAAAGATAATAACAATTCTAAATTCAGAGGGTGATTATACTGATAGTGTGTGAATGGAAACTAACATGTAGAAAATGATAAATGTGCTAAATAGTATTATGGAAGAAATGTACAGCATCATTGTTTTCATCTATTAAGTGAACTGTGATATCATGGGACTTATTCAAGATAAATAGAAGCACCAAAGGAAAAGAAGATTAAGGTAGGCTGGGGCTGTGGCTCAGTGGTAGAATGCTTGCCTAGAACAGGTGAGGTGAAGATTAAGGTAAAAATTTTTGGTTAAAAAGGAGAATAATATTGTTATCAAAGATTTAAGAGTTAACAAATGCAGACAATATAATTTAGCTTTCTGTTTCATTTTCAATCAGTAGCAGAAGTTACCAAATCATTTTGTTTATCCTCTGTTGCCAAAAAAACAGAATAAATATATGAAACCATTTGGTGTTTTTTGGTTCTTAAATTTGAACCCCAGTAAATTGGTCATCTGCACCATTTTCTAATTGCTTGTGCTTAGTCAAAAGAAAGAAGGGAGGAATCGAAAGCCAGAAATGGAAAGAGAGTCAAGGATGGGACATGTTAGAAATAGCAAATAGGTTTATGTTAAACCAAGAAATTACATTTCAGAGGTATCCTTTCACTCACCTAATTGAAATACACATGGTGTCTTCATCTTTGGATTATTGCAGGGTTTCCATTACACCTTCTAACTCTTAATTTTTTAAATTACTTTTTAGTTTTAAATTAACACAGATAAAATTGTATACATTTACTGTATGCTGCAGGATGTTGCGCAATATGTATGTAGTGAGGCCTGGCTAAACAAACATGCATCACCTAATACAGTTGTCACTGGGCCAGCCCTCCACCTCAGACCTCTGTCTGCCCTCCTTTTTTAGGAGATAGATTGTTATTTTATAACCTCAGTTCATTAAAAATTTCTGGCCTCTGGTTTCTTTAAATATTTTCAAATATTTCAATCTCCCTTCTTCCTCCTCTGGGCATCTTTCTCTGTAGGATCCAACTCCATGATTTAAGGCACAGTTTGTTGACAAGAAATCCTGGGACCCTATTATGAAAATGAAGGCAGCAAACAACCTTTGAATGTATTTCCCAATTTAAAAAAGCTTTCATTACACAGCACATTTCAGGCAGAGAATGTTAAAAATTTATCATGGTTTCAGTAATTATGGCTTCCTCTGGAAGCTTGGCATGCTATAGAATCATTTGTAAAATGTGGATTTTGTTTGGCACTCAGTAGGAAGCTTGCCAAGCAATACATTTAATTAAAAATGTGGGAAAGGGAATGATTGTGGTCTGTCATAGTGTATGATCATTGCTTTTAATTTCTAACCCTTATCGTTATTTTTATGATAGCGGACTCATAACAAGATTTGTGTTTAAAGTTAGAGGTGATTTCTCTTTTATCAGCTTAGTGTTTTTATACAGGAAATATATTATTTTGAGGGAAAGGGTACATTAGCTGCATTCCTTAGATCTAAGTCTTTGTCTATGGTGTAAGCTACAAGAGCTTTAGCTGCTCTCCTTAGTAACAACCTTTGTCCATTGTTTAAGACCTTGAAAATTGATGCATTGCCTTTTGGGAGCTTAGACAGCTTTATTTAAGTTTAACTTTCTCCAGAGATGCATAGAAATAATGAAATGCAATGCCTTTCTTGAACATAACCCTGTACATAACTTCTAGTCCTCCCTGATGCGTAAAGTAAATTTGATAAGAGCAACTCCAATATCGTAATGATTAATGTTGACTTTTTTTTTTTAATTTCAAAGCAACCTATGTCAGCAGATTCAGAGAAGTGTGATGATAACCATCTCTAAGGCCAGATTCTCATTGTGTTATATACTCTCTTCTATTTTCACAAGGAAACTTGTCTGTAATATCTTTGAGAGGCACCACAGAAAGGATGCAAACATAATGGAAGGGGACCTTTCTGGCATAAGCTTTTGGGTGTTCAGGTTTTCAGGGGCAGAATTCTCTGACCACTTAGCTGCATGAATCTCCTCTTTTATCACTACATAGCTCTACCCTTCTTAGTGAACAAAGATATTCCTTTAATAACAGATAGGTCAGATTTAACATTAAGGTGTCAGTCCAAGGTATAAAATAACACATAGACAAAGATCATTTTCACTCCCCTTCTCTTGTAACTCCACTGTATTTTGAATTCATAAAATCTTTTTCTAATTCTGACCAGTTTATTGTTCTCTTCCACCTTCCTTATTATCCCTCCTTCCCCTAAAGCATTGAGACCATTGCTTAAATGAATCATTCTTCCAGGGTCTCCTTCTCTGCTAGGGGAAAATAACAGAAAACCAGTAAGCAAATCTTTGAGAGTTCATGTAGTAACAACAAGGAGGTTAGGAAATAGATAAAAAAGTAGTTTTAATTGGACACAACAGCTTCATTAATTCTGATAACCATTCATCTTTTTTTCTGGGAAGAGGAAATAGAACAAAAGAATCTCACTTTCATCTTCCAGTCTAGTTGCACATCCCTCACATCTTTGAAGAGTGGAGATCCAAGTAAAATGATCTAGATATGAAGGTATCTGACTGCCCTTTCACAGTAATTTGCCAAAGCCACGTACCGATTTTCCTCTGCAGAAATGCAGCTCTCATATCAAAATGGTCAATCACTGAAGAAACAAATAGAAAGTTGCTCCAAAAATGTAGTAAGTGCCCTTTTTCCCTCTTTCCCTGCCTGCAAAATCCTGAAAACAATCCAGCCTGTATTCCAGGGCATTTTGAACCAAAATTGTCTTCAAGTAAGTATAGCTGTAACTTATATATGTGAATACTTGCTTTGTTTAAAGCAACAACATTCAGAGCACTGTATAGAAATAAACTCATATAGTCCTTAGAATGTCCATATGTGGTCTGTGCTACTGTTATCACTGAAGAAACTGAGGCACAGAGGAGTTATTGATCTTTCTTGATTTATACATAGGAAGTAGTCTGTTTTGGGAAACAATTCAAGATAATATGAATCCAGATTTATTCAACTACTATGATATATTTATTTTTTCTTATACTTTAGAAAGAAGAGATTGATTAAAAGCAAGAGACTTGATTAAAGAAGATTAGACAGAGACAACAATATCCCATGTGCCTTGCACAGTAGCATATGTCTGTAATCCCAGGGGCTCAGGAGGTTGAGGCAGGAGGACTGTGAGATCAAAACCAGCCTCAGCAACTTAGCAAGGCCCTAAGCAACTCAGTGAGACCCTGTCTCTAAATAAAATACAAAGAAAGGGTTGGAGATGTGGCTCAGTGGTTAAGTGCCCCTGTACAAAAACCAAAAATCAAACCAAAACAAACATGTAAGGAAGAATACATAAATGGTGTTCTTACAGGTACCATTGACTTTCTGGGGCATTCTGAAGTTAGACTCCCTATTATATTTTTTACAATTAAATTCCTACCCCCTGCCTTTTTTTTTTTTAATGCTCACATCGTGGTATTAAAATGACAAAACTGTGAGGTAGGCAAAACAAGATCAAATACATGTCAAAATCTTATAAAGACAACTGGGCCACGTGGATGGTTCTCTTGACTAGCACAAACTATGTACATGGGTGGGCAATTGTGTGACAGCTAATTTTATAACATATATTTCTTCAAAACAAGGCTGGATCATTATTTAAGATGAACAGAGGGAACCTCTTTTAAGTACTTCTGTTGAATTGTTCTCAGGCCTAAATTCATTTTTGTCTGGGAGAAAATTCCCACTCATTGCAGCAATGCTATCAGCATTTTCCTTTGAAGTGATGCTACAGTAAGTGGATTTACTTAGGTAAGGTTTAGGATATCTTCTCTTTAAAGCTGGAAGGACAACTGCAGGGTCAACTGGGGGAAGAATTTGATTTATACTCCTGTGTTAAATGTCCCAGATTACACATTTGTCAGGCTTGGACATTCTGTGTTTGAAGTAATATGGAAAAAAGATAATATGATAACAACCTAATACCAATAACTAAAAAAAAAACACTGTAAAATAAGGATTGAAAATAAAAAAAAATTAGAAGTAACCTTGTTGATAAAATACAGTTTTAAATGTATAAATGTATATAATGTATAATTTTTGTTACTAGAATCAGGAAAATACCTTTGTCTTTAGGCATCTCAGAGAGATCCAAGAGCATCTCTAAGCTGCTATTTACTATAATAAACACCTGGAAATGAAGATGCAATGAAATCCATCTTCTCTGTAGCATTTTCTGAATCTTAACACAATAAAGCTTTTTTTTTTTTTTTTTTAGAAAAAATTAAATGTGAGACTTTAGTCTGACTGGTACCTACCCAAAACCAAAATATGTAAAACTAATTGCCAATACACTGGGATGCAAATCTTTTATATATGCAAATATAGATGTTTATCTATCAATATAAATATAGATCCATTGTTTTATGAACCACTCAAACTAACAAGCATTCTTTTATTTTCAGAGGCAAAGGCCCACTAAAACATACAACTGAGGTGATATATGCAGCTAAAATGATATCAGAATCAGGATCAAGGATGGATGTCCTCGCTCGGCAGATTGCTAACCAGGTGAATTATTTACAAATGGAAATTGTGAAATCCATGATCATTGCTCCTTGCCATTCAAACATTAATTAGAGCAAAGATGTATTTTTATTCTATTGTATATTTTCCTTAAATTGTATCTGGGTTATTTTTAATTTTATAACATTATTAATATACAACTTATTAACATTAATATACAAGTATCAATAATGTTATCAAGAATTAATAATTTATAAAGTGGACAATTAATTCTAAGGAAGCTTAACTTCTTTTAGGGGAGATTTCTTTTCACTTTAAATGTTTTCAAATGATTTTTTGAATCAGCTTTTTCATTTCAAAAATACTGTTAATTTTAATTGGAAGTTAATAACCAAACAGTGTTTTTTCCTTGACAATTTAGATTGCTTATTTTTGCTTTCCAAAAATGAAGACATTTAAAAATTTTATTATGTTAAGTTTCCTGGGTTAACAACATATTATAACATTATATGTAAAACTAAAAGACAAATACAAATTAGTGAATACTAAAGTGAAAATATATAACAAAGAAAGTATATCATTCTTATGGAGACTGGTGTTTCTAAACACTTTGATTTCCTTTCATTAGATGTCTCATGGCTCTTTTTCAGTTTTCTAAGTAGCAGCTACATCATTTAAGTTACCTTCTGAATAACTTTAATTGGAAAATCTGTCAGTTCCATTAGTTAATTTATTGAGATATTCAATTAATATTTAGACTGGTGTATAACATTACTTTGAAGCCTATATATTTAATTCAGATTCATAATAAATATTAATTTCTCCTCAACAAACACTTCTCTTTTTGGCTTTGCACTTATTCCATATTATTTCATATAATTCCATATTCCTTATTATTTGTATATATAATATATGAAAAACAAAAACTGATAATAGCAGAGAAAATATTTTTTAAAGTCCTTGAATCATACATATCATTTATTATCTTGGCTTCAAGAATTATACAAATTTTATTAATCTCACGTTTTAGTACAAATTGAGCATCCTTAAAAATCCAAAAGTAGATTTGCTACTCTAATAAGTTTTGGATTTTAGGGCATTTTGTTTTCAGATTTTGAGATTATGCATGTTCAACCAATATTCCAAAATTTTAAAAAAAAACTATATAAATAAGTCTCCAAAACTTGACACACTTCTAATCTCAAGTATTTCAGATGCGGAATATTCAGCCAGTATGTAGCATTTATAGATGAAAGCAAGTTGTATTCTACTAAAGTCAAAATGTCTAAGACTGAATAAATGACTAAAGCCCACATATGCCCGTTTTTTTTCTTATTTTAGAATTTTATTGTATTCAGTTTTAAAAGACAGACTAAATATTGTTGGAATTGGTGAAACCTTACAGTTCATGACACAGACTTACATATACTAATAACTTTTAACACACTAAATTCTTCCTATCCTTTTTCTTCTCTATATTTTGGAATACACAATTTTTGAAGTTCAAATACTTGTGTCACCTGGAAGTTTTTTTCTTATGTTGGTATTCTTTAATTTGACCAGACAACCTTACAGTACATACTTATATAACATAGCTTCATTAAATTATGCCATTGTTTTTAACATTATTCAGATTTTAAGAGAGGAAACAAAAGTACTATTTCACTTCCATATAGCTTTGACATTTTACACCAAGCTGAAGGAAATAGTCACTGACTAATGAAGAATTATGGGTGACTCTCTATGGCCTTTTCCATTTCATATGGTATAGTAGTTTCAAATGAATTACTTCTGTTCTGAACAAATAGGGTTCTGAAGAATCAAACTTGCTAATAAATAAACAGGTTATGTTTTCATAGTGGCCATCTTGGGAGATTGTCAATGAAAGTGTTCTGATTTTTTTTAAAGATTGACATATAAATTTTAGGCATTAAATAATAACTGATTTTGATTGTGGAAGACAATGATGAAAACAAGGCCATTTTCAGTGGATAATGCATATTATAAGAAAAACTCTGCTGGGGCATTAGTTGCTTGCTATCTAGTTTGTTCAATCTAGTAGTTCAAAATTTTAAAGGATTTCTATGATGCTGTTTAGTCTGCTTTTTACTGGAGTATCAGATGGCTAAATTCTAAGTAATTTCCAATTCAATCTAGTATGAACTTGAAATACATAAATACATATTATATTATAGTATGATATATACATATATTATTAGATCAATAATAGTTTTATTTTTATGACTTATAAAGTTCATATGCAGAGAGAATGAAATGGAATCTGATTATTTGAGGCTTCTAATTATGCTTGCCTGGCTCCCTCTTTCTTCATTCTTCCCTCCTACCTTATTTCCTTGTGCATGTATTCATTGTGCATATACCAGGTATAATTCACTACTAAGGAATTTCTGTCAGCTAACAAGAAAGAGAAAAAGTAAAATATTGTTTAATTAGTTGTGTAATTGTACATATTTATGTGGTACAGAGTAATAATTTAATACACATGTACAATATGTAGTGATCAAATCATAATAGTTAACATTTCCATTTCAACATTTAATTTTTTGGATTAACATACAATAATTGAACTAATTTATACATTTAATTTTTTATGATAAAAGGGTTTATTATAAACCCCCCCTATTTAAATACCCAGTACCCTCAGGAAATTTATTTGTATCAATCACTTATTATCTCTTAAACTTTCCCATGCTCCCAGATAGGCAGAATTAATATTGTCAAAATGGCCATACTTCCAAAAGCGTTATACAGATATAATACAATTCCTATTAAAATCCCAATGACATTCTTCATAAAATAGAAAAAACAATCATGAAATTTATTTGAAAAAATAAGAGACCCAGAATAGCCAAAGCAATCCTTAGCAAGAAAAGTGAAGCAGGAGCATCACAATAGTGGACTTTAAACTATACTCCAGAGCAATAGTAACAAAAATGGCATGTAATTGGCGCCAAAATACGCTTGTGGATCAATGGTACAGAGTAGAGGACACAGAGACAAACACATAAATACAGTTATCTCATACTAGAAAAAGGTGCCAAAAACATTCATTGGAGAAAAGATATCGTTTTCAACAAATGGTGCTGACAAAATTGGAAATTCATATGTAGCAAAATGAAATTAAATCCCTATCTCTCACCCTGCCAAAACTCAACTCAAAGCATATCAAGAACCTAAAAGAATTATACTAGAGACTCTGTGCCTAATAGAGGAAAAACTAGTCCCAAATCTTCATCATGAACTTAGGACCTGACTTTCTTAACAAGACTCCTAAAGCCTAAGAAGTAAAATCAAGAATCAATAAATGGGATGGATTCAAATTAAAAAGATTCTTCTAAGCAAAGGACACAATCAATAACATCAGCAAAGAGCCTATAGATTGGGAGAAAATCTTTACCACATGCACTTTCAATAAAGCATTAATCTCTAGGCTATATAAAGAACTCAAAAAACTTAACACCAAAAAATAAATAACCCAATCAGTAAGTGGGCTAAGGAACTAAACAGATACTTCACAAAAGAGGAAATACAATCCATCAACAAATATATGAAAATGTGTTCAACATCTCCGGCAATTAGAGAGTGCAAATCAAAACTACTCTAAGATTTCATCTCACTCCAGTCACAATGGCAATCATCAAGAATACAGGCAGCAATAAATATTGGCAAGAATGTGGGGGAAAAGCTACATTGCTGGCGGGACTGAAAATTGGTACAACCACTATGGAAAGCAGTATGAAGACTCCTAAGAAAACTTGGAATGGAACCACCATTTGATCCTGTTATCCCACTCCTTGGTTTATACCCAAAGGACTAAAATCAGCATACTACAGCAATGCAGCCACATTAATGTTTAGAGCAGCTCAATTCATAATTGCTAAACTATGGAATCAACCTAGGTGTCCTTTAATAGATAAATGGATAAAAATGTGATATATATGTATATATATATGTGTATATATATATGTGTGTGTGTGTGTGTGTGTGTGTATAATTTTTTCAGTGGGATATTACTCAGTTTTAAAGAAGAATGAAACTATGGCATTTGCCAGTAAATGGATGGATTTGGAGAATATGATGCTAATTGAACAAGGCCAATCCCCTCAAAAACCAAAGGCTGAATGTTTTCTCTAATATGCAGATGCTAATTCACAATAAGGGGAGCAGGGCACTAGAGAAAAATAGAGTTCCCCTAGATTAGGTAGAGGGGATGTGGGGATAGGAAGGATAGTAGAAGGAAACAGATATTATTACTGTATGTATATATGTGACTGCATGACCAATGTGATTCTTCAACATGTACACTCAGAAAAATGAGAAATTATATCCCATTTATGTATGATACATCAAAGTGCATAAATGCATTCTACTGTTATGCAAAACTAATCAAAACAAATAAAAATTGTATTGAGATGGTGTGGTAGCTTAATAAGACATCTAAAACATGCTTTTCTAAGTCCTATAGAACCCATATAATTTTTTGTCTTTATTACACAATATAATCTTAGAGGACAACATGTTTTTAGCTATCCAAAAATTTAAACATTTCCCTTATAAATATACATAATGACATTTTGGAGAAGTGGAAAAGATTCAGACCCCTGTCACAAATTTCTTTCTATTCCTGCACACTATAATGTAATTCTCCATTTTAGCAGATACTATTAATTTCATAAGATAGGGATTATACACAAAAATAGTTCAATTAGTTACAGAAGCAATATACCCCCAAATAGGAAGGAGATGAATAGCAGCCAAAAGTAAACTTAGCATCTATTAAAGCATGTTGCACAAGAAGAGAACAAAATTAGACTTTCTGACCCTGTGTGGTATTTCTGAAGCCTAATTGCTTGTTATAATTTTTTTAAAACAAAGATATGCAGGCTGTTGACTGGGTCCTGCCACCTAATCATAAATGAACACAATTAAAATCAACTTTTAGATAAATGCATTGACAGTTAACGTTAATTCAAGTAAAGATGACATTTTAAAATAAAGAAGTATAAGTCAAATCACATTGCACT